AATTTTCTTTCTAACAACTTTGAATATTTTCTCTCTCTATTTAAACTCTATTTTTCCCCTATTTAAACTCTATAAACCTATCTAAATTCAATAAAATTATTTTTTCTTCATTATCCTATATTTTCGTCATACCTAAACTCTACCAATTTTTTCTCTCTCCTAAACTTTAAAATCTTCATCTAAAAATTTGAAATAATATTATTTTTGCTTCATTATTGCTTGTTTATATTGGTTTTTATTTTTTTCTATGAATTTTTTATCCCTAACTATCTCTAATTCTCCCTAAATACATGAACAAAGCAAATTTTTCATCGTCAAATTTTAATATATGTTTCATAATATTCATATAAATACTTATATATTTTTTGATTTTTATTATTTTTATGTTTATATTCGTAATATATATTTTTCTTTTTAACAACAGGTTACTACATACAGCGAATTAATGTTTTGTAAGAAAATTGTAAATGATAAGAATAAAAATCATTGAAAGTTTGTAAGGATGTATTCAATTTAGAATTTCAATGACTTTTGTAGACTTTTTAAAATAAAAAGTTGATAAAAGTCTATGAATGTTTTTTGTATAGACTTTTAGAGAGTCTTATAAAGTTTTAAAAAGTTTTGAACGACTCTATGAAAGTCAATCAAAGTTTATTAAAATCTATCATTTTAAAAGTCTTTAAAACTCTACAAAAGCCATGATTGAATACACCCCCCTAAAATTAAAGTCTTAATAGAACTCTAACCACAAATCCTACCGTCAGAATCTCCTCAAACAATATTAATATATAGTTAATATTTTAGCCCGCATGGATAGCTCAACTGGTCATAGAGGTGAAACTTTGGAAGAATGACCAGGGATTGAGTCTCACGAGCGACAGTGTGGGAGCAACTTCTCAAAGTGAGGAGGGCTCCTTGTGCGCAGTGAGCACCGGTCTAGCCTCTATGGTTCATGTTCAGTTGAGTCACCATGATTTACATCCTCCCAAATGCCCTGTGGGAGCAACTTCTCAAAGTGAGGAGGGCTCCTTGTGCGCAGTGAGCACCGGTCTAGCCTCTATGGTTCATGTTCAATTGAGTCACCATGATTTACATCCTCCCAAATGCTCTGTCGGGCCGGGGTTGGGGTTCAGCCGTTTGGAAGAATACAAATGCTCTGTCGGACCGGGGTTGGGGTTTAATATTTTATGCTTTAATTTTACATCCTCCCAAATGCTCTGTCAGGCCGGAGTTGGGGTTCAGCCTTTTGGAAGAATATATATAATATTTTATGCTTTAATTTTTATTTGCTCCCCCTTATGTCCCGTATTCGGTTTCAACTATACCCATGCTCAGTTGAGTCACCATGATTTACATCCTCCCAAATGCTCTGTCGGGCCGGAGTGTGGGGGCCCTTAGGGTTGGGGTTCAGCCTTTTGGAAGAATATATTTAATATTTTATGCTTTAATTTTTATTTGCTCTCCCTTATGTCCCGTATTTGGTTTCAACTATACCCATGCATACAATTATTTTATTGACAATTATAATCAATCTTGACTATATTATCTTGCACTTCTAAACTTAGAATTACCAATTTAAATATGCAAATTCAAAATTCAATTATCTATGCATGAACAATTTTAATATAATCTTGTCTTGATATACTTTAAAATACTTATTTAAGAAAAACATTGGGCATTATCCTAATCGCGCCGTAAAAAACTAGTATTGGAATAAGAGATGTGTGGCTCTCTGCGGCTTATTGTATTCTTCATCTTTTCTCTACCTTCTTTATCTACATTTCCATTGATCCATATGTTTGAGCCAATAGGCTGATTACAACAATACCTACCCCATATAAATTGCAATTTATTGTGGAAAGGAATTGAAAGGAAAAAAAAAAAAAAAAAAAAAAAAAAAAAGAAGACATTTTTGCTCATTATTATTATTATTATTATTATTATTATTATTATTATTATTAATTATTATTATTATTATTATTATTATTATTATTATTATTATTATTATTATTATTATTATTATTATTATTATTATTATTATTATTATTTTACAAGGACATTTTAATCTTTATATCACTTTCTTTTTCTCATTCCCAATAATTAAAATCTTTCCTACCAAATGATGTAATTTGAATTTTACTTTATTCCCACCTTATTCTTTTCCCATCAAATTACAACTTTTCCCCTTAATTCCCTTCTTGCAACCAAACGCCCTATTTAGAACTTTTCATTGCAATATATTCAATGGCAAATTTGGGTTTCTTTAAGTAAAGAAACGGCTGCGATTATATGTTAACGAAACCTCTCTCCCTGTGACCTAGGGTTTCCTACATTCCTCCCTGCGATCTAGGGTTCCTGTTTTACGTGCATGCGACGAACGCCATTGAAGCTGCTCGCCAATCTTCAATGGATGTGCAGGAGATAATAGCGCACACTGCAGACATCACGATAGACGACGAAGAGCAAGGGGTCCGGTTCGAGGATGAAGTTCTCGGCGTCCAAACCCTACCGGCGTCGAAGGTAACCTGGACCATTGTTGGCCGGTTTTTGACGGATCGTAATCTAAAAACTGAGGTGATGAAGCGTGTTATGGCTTCGGCTTGGAAACCACTGATGGGGATTGAGATAACGGATGTGCAGCCAAATTTGTTCTTGTTCACCTTCTTTGATGAACCGGACATGAGGCGTGTTATGGATGAGGGGCCTTGGGCGTTTGAGAATGCGACGCTACTATGCCAAGTCCTAAACGATGGCGAAGATCCACTATAGGTTAGTCTAAATTCTGTGGATTTATGGGTACAGGTTTCGGACATCCCCCAGGGTTACCGTACGATCAAGGTGTTGGAAAGAATTGGGGACTATGTTGGGGTGTTTTTGCGTTATGATGAACGGAACTTTGAAAGACAGTGGACTTCCTTCTATAGAGTTAGAGTCACCCATGAGGTCTCAAACCCCCTAAAACGGCGGATGAAGATGATTTTGAGGGATGGATCGTGGACATGGATTAACTTTAAATATGAACGCCTCCACATGTTTTGCTTTTTTTGTGGAAGAATGGGACATACGGATAAATTTTGCTTGCAAGCTCGCCGTTCGTTGTTAAGGCCGGAACAGTATCCGTTTGGTGTGTCGATGAGGGCGGGGGGTACGAGTCCGGCGAAGGCGTTGGGGGAAAAATGGTTTCAACTGGGCCAAGAGAGGAGGCGGGAAATTGGCTATGGGGGTGAGGGCGGGAGAATGGCAGTGGGAGTAGGAGCTGGAAAGGGTGGGCTGTCTCGGGAGGAGGTGGCCGAGGCTACGGCTGGGGTTCATTCGGGAGGTGGGGGTGTGGATGGGATGGGCGGTGAGGGGGTTGGTGGTGAGGGGGAGGGAGTTCGGGTGGATCCGAAAAGACGGAGGACGGATGTCGGGGAGGTGAGTGCTTTGAAGGGGGATATGGTTGTTGATTCTGATTCTTTTTTAATGGCGGGACCTGTGGATCAGGCCCGCCGGTCCCAATGAGTACCTTAAGTTGGAACTGTCGTGGCTTGGGTAATCCACAGACAGTTCGCGAGATTGAGGACATGGTGTCCTCTAAGAAACCCGATTTTGTATTTCTCATAGAAACCAAGGTTGACCATGATCATGCGGAGCGTCTTCGGGTTAAACTTGGTTTTGATGGACTTTTTTGTATTGACAGTTCTGGTTTGAGTGGTGGATTGGCTCTGTTGTGGAGAGCAAATAATACAGCGAGATTGATTAGTTATTCCACAAACTATGTGGATGTTGAGGTGACTATGCCAGGGTTTGAAAAGTGGAGAATGACTGGCTTTTATGGCTATTCACAGAGAGGGCAAAGGAGAGACTCTTGGGACCTTATTCGTACCTTAGCAGGCAGATCAAATTTACCGTGGGTGATGATTGGGGACTTTAATGACTTACTTTTTCAATCTGAGAAGCGAGGTGGAAACCCTCATCCTGAGAGATTATTGCTTGGGTTTGGTGAGACTATAGAGGAATGTGGCTTAGCGCAGATGCCAATGATGGGATATCCGTTTACTTGGGAAAAAGGAAAAGGCACACCTAATTGGATAGAGGAGAGGTTGGACAAAGTTTTGGCTAGCCAGAGTTGGCGTGAGAACGTGCCGGATGCTAGTGTGCAAAATATACTAACCCGAAAGTCCGATCATTCTGCTCTTTTCCTTGGGATTCTGAATCTTCGGGAAAGGACGGGTGGTCCGAGAAGGGGGTTCCGTTTTGAGATGGCATGGCTACACGATGAAGGATGTAGGGATGTGGTGGAGAAGGCATGGAATGAAGGCGCAGAAAGGGGGTTGCAGGAGTGTATCTCTCTTTGTGGAAATCGTTTGTCACGTTGGGGAGGAGAGCGTTTTCATAAGTTTGGTGAACGGATCAGAAACCTACGGAAGGAGCAATTGCGTCTGAGGGGGTGTAATGATCCGGCCTCATTAGCTGAGTTCCAACGTTTGGAGGACTGCCTGTGTCGTATTGAAGCCCAGGAGGATACATACTGGAGGCAGAGGGCCAAGCAGCATTGGCTTAAGAACGCGGATGCTAACACAAAATACTATCACAGGTATGCATCTCATCGCAAGAAAAAGAATACTATTTTAAAAGTTATGAATGATAGTGGGGATTGGGTGAAGGGTGAAGCCATGAGAAATGTTATCTACAACTATTATAAGACTATCTTTACCTCCGACTCTCCAAGTAATAGTGGGGAATTCGTTGGAAGTATAGCTCCTCGGGTAACGCAGGTGCAGAATGAGTTGCTTTTGCGGCCCTTTGATGCTAGTGAGGTTAGGAGTGCTCTGTTTTCCATGTTTCCTGACAAAGCACCAGGACCGGATGGAATGAATCCAGGGTTCTACCAGCATTTTTGGGATGTAGTGGGTGGTGATGTATCGGCCTATATTGTGGATTGTCTTAATACTCGCTCGTTTCCGGCTCGCCTAAATGATACGAATATAATATTAATCCCCAAGAAGAAAACCCCGGAGATGGTCTCGGATTATAGACCGATAGCGCTGAGTAACGTGGTGTACAGGATTATGGCTAAGGTTATAACTGCCAGGATGAAACCACTTATGGGGGATATTATATCTGACACCCAAAGTGCTTTTATATCTGACAGGTTAATAACAGATAATATTTTGATTGCTGCCGAGGTCGGACATTTTTTGAACAGAAAACAATGTGGAATCACAGGATGGGGGGCTTTGAAACTGGATATGGCAAAAGCCTATGACCGGATGGAATGGCCCTTCTTGCGTAATATGATGTTAGCATTGGGTTTTGATGAAAGGTGGGTGGAATTGATAATGCTGTGTGTGACCTCAGTTTCATATACTATACAGGTTGGTGGAACACGAGGTGACCAGATCACGCCGACTCGTGGATTGAGGCAGGGTGACCCACTGTCACCTTATCTCTTTATTATTTGTGCTGAGGGACTTTCATTACTGCTACAGCAGGCACGGTTGAGAGGAGATCTACATGGGTGTAGAGTAGCTAGGGGAGCCCCCCCTATATCCCACTTATTTTTTGCAGATGATAGCTTACTCTTTTTTAGAGCAACTGCGCAGGAGGCCAGTGTGGTAAAACAGTGTTTATCGGTGTATGAGGAAATGTCTGGGCAAGCAGTAAATTACTGTAAGTCAAGCATTTGCTATAGTAAGAATACGCGGGATGAGCACAGAGAGGAGGTTGCCAGTATCTTGGGAGTGGTTCAGGCTCCGAATTTTGGGAAGTATTTGGGACTTCCATCATTTGTGGGCAGGAATAGGAGAGCAGTTTTCTCATATATTGATGATAAGATCAGACAGCGGATTGGGTCATGGAATAAGAAGTTGCTTTCACAGGCAGGTAAGGAGGTCTTGTTGAAAAGTGTGGCACAATCTATGCCCACCTTTTCTATGAGTGTCTTTTTACTACCTATGAATATCTGCACAGCCATTGAGCGAACTATGAATCGTTACTGGTGGAGATCTAAGGATGATCAGGGTATCCATTGGAAGGCATGGGATAAATTATGCATCCCTAAGAAATATGGGGGATTGGGCTTTAAGGAATTGCATGCCTTTAATTTAGCTATGTTGGGGAAACAGGCCTGGCGGTTACTCACCAAACCTGACTCATTGGTTTCCAGAATTTTTAAAGCCAGATACTATCCTAAAGGGACATTCTTTGATGCTTGTGTAGGGAATAACCCAAGTTACTGCTGGCGAAGTATTATGGCAGCACAGGGACTAATTTGTGGAGGAGTTAGACGCAGGATTGGGAATGGAAAAGAAACTCTAATATGGGATCATCCATGGCTTCAGGATGAAAATAATGCGAAAATAATAACCGAGAAACCACCATACTTGGCGCAGGCAACTGTTATGGGATTGATAGATCAGGAAACGGCGGCATGGGATCATGATATTTTAACTGATATTTTCATTCCGGAGGATGTGACACGAATACTGAAGATACCTGTGTCACCGGATTATGAGGATATGTGGTATTGGTATGGTGATATAACAGGTGAATACTCGGTTAAAAGTGGTTACAGGCAAATAGTGGGGAATTATGTTCAAGCAACAGGGATGTTTGACAAGTGGCCTAAGTTATGGAAGCTCAAAGTACCCCCGAGATGGAAAACATTTTTATGGAGAGCCTTGAATAATATATTGCCCACAACAACGAACCTCATTATAAAGAGAGTGGAGATTAGCCCAACATGTGCTATGTGTGGGATTATGCATGAGGATGTTATGCACTCTTTGGTTAGATGTGATTATACAAAGAACATTTGGGCACAATCTCACCTTCCAATCCCCAATACTATCACAGATATTTTCCATGTTTGGTTTAACGAGTTATTAAATATTCTAGATGATGATGGAATTATTTATGCAGTGGGCCTGTTATACTATATATGGCGAGCAAGGAATGGAGCTGTGTGGGACGTATACTTACCCAGACCACAAAAGATAATTGTAACTGTAACCGCAGCGATCCGGGCATGGCAAATTGCACACCCGGACCGCCCGCAACACCAACGGACTCAGCGTGGATGGACCACGGCAATCTCCGAGCAGCGCCAGGGAGTGGAACTGCAGCATGCTGCTGTGCCGACCGCAACTCACACGGCTGCCTCCCCACGAAACAAATGCTATTTTGATGCAGCCTTTTTCCAAGCCACAAATAAGGCTGCTGTTGGAGCAATTATCCTAGACGAACAGGGATCGTATATCTCAGCTTTACAGGCGCCATTGATAGACTGCTTCTCCCCGCTTATGGCTGAAGCAATTGCATGTAAAGAAGTGTTATCTTGGTTATGGGATCGTGGAGAGAGATCGGTAGACATCCTAACGGATTGTCTGTCACTACAACAATATTTATCACGTGCGAAGGATACACCACGTTCGTACCTCGGCTATGCCATTGACTCCTGCAAAAACCGGATGGTTTCCTTTGATTATGTTTCAGTTAATTTTGTTCCTAGATCAGATAATTGCTTAGCACATGTTTTAGCCACTTCGGCCTTTAATTATTCAGCACCTATGTACTCGGACTCTGGTCCGCCAGTCTCTATTTCAACGTATTTCCAATAAATGCCGCGCAGGCTCTTTTCAAAAAAAATATTCAATGGCAAATTTGTAATTTGTTTAAAAATTGAGGGCAATTGAAAAAAAAAATCTAAATGTTAGATAAAAAAAATTTTAGCCGCACTATTTGAGATCAATGATTAATAGAAATGTCATTTTTTAAGGGCAAATGGAAACTCCCAAATATTAATATAGGGGAGATATAAAGATTTGTCTACTCTTACTTTTACAAAATAAAATAGTCATTGCATCAGTATATAAATTTTGAAAAAAGATATTAGTTTAATAGTATGATTTATGAACTATAAAAAAAATTTACACACATACACACACATGGGCGAATCCACAATGGGGGTAGTGGGGCCAGCTGCCCTTCACCTACCCATCCCCTTTATATATATTGTATGTATAGGCCCCATATATATACATAGTAAATGTCTATAACTACTAAATATACATAAATTTAACCTAAGGATGACCTAGCTTAGATGGTAATTAAGGTATATGTTAGACATAATCTCATTAGTTTAATCTTTCGTCTTTACTAAAAAAGATTTCTGGAACCGCCTATATATATATATATATATATATATATATATATATATATATATATATATATATATATATATATATATATATATATACATACATATATATACATACATATGTATGTATACATATATATATGTATGTATACATACATATATATACATACATACATATATATATATACATACATATATATATGTATACATACATATGTATGTATATATATATATATATATATATATGTATATATATATATATACATATATATATATATATATATATATATATATGTATATATATATATATACATACATATATATATATATATATATATATATACATACATATATATATATATACATATATATATATATATATATACATACATATATATATATATATATATATACATATATATATGTATGTATATATATATACATATATATATATATACATATATATATATATATATACATATATATATATATATATATATATATATATATATAGGGACGGAGCCAGAGAACTTGAGTTGAGGGGGCTGATGTAGTAGAGAAAATTTACAATGTTAGTCTGACATTACAATTAATTGCACCATATTATTATATATACCATACATTATTGTGATTATTATTGATAATAATTTCTAATTATACTAAGTAAATAAAGTATGAAATACATAATTATATGAGTACGATCGATACCTCATTACTTTAGAATTTTTTTCACATAACACAAAATATAATAATAACAATAACAACAACATTTATTTAAATATATAGATTGTCACTTAACTGAATATTTCAATATTTGAGAGATAAAGACAAAAATCAAGATGAATTAAATAATCAATATTAATTTTTGTCAATTTCAAAACTAATCATTTAAACTAGTAAATGTACATTTTAAAAATGTAAATAAATAATTAAAACACACAATAAATCACTAATTAATTAATCAACATATATAACTAATAAATTAAACCAAAGCATATATCTCAAATTTGGAGATTTTTTTTTTTAAATTAAAATGTGTACTTCATGCCATTCATTATTAAAATCTTGATAAAAGAAATAAGATAATAAAGAAAAATGGTCGCTTTAATTATTTGATTTATTTCTTTTTATTTAATGAATTTGAACTTTAATATATATTTTGAGTTTATTTAATATAAACATAATAGATTTTTCTTATAAAAAAAATTAGAGGGAGGCCAAAAGTGTATTTTATCCCTACTATATCAATATATACATACATATTTACTAAAAAATTTAGGGTGAGGGTAGGGGTGGGGGGCCAAGGCCCCCTACCTCCTAAGGTCCCTCTCTCTCTCTCTCTCTCTCTCTCTCTCTCTCTCTCTATATATATATATATATATATATATATGGGATAAGGGTCAAATAAGCCCTCAAATTATACCTAATAATGCAATTAAGCCCTCAAACTAAAAAAAGCTTCAATCAGGCCCTTGAAACCTGTAAAAATGTGCAATTAGATCTATTAACAAGTAATCAATAGGTTAATGCTGAGTTGTAGCTTACTTGAACACTAATTTAGATTCTTTAATTGCTTGTATATGCTTCCATCTCATTTTTATTATTTATTTAATGCAATAATTTATTTTTCTTAAAATGTACAAATAAAAAAATTAAAAATATATTAAAAATTAAAATGATAAAACTGATTGCGTGATGAAAAAAAAGGTGGATTACTCCACCCTGCTCCGCTTCTTGAATTCTTGAATTTGAAATAATCCACGCAAAAACCCATAATTGAAGGAGGCAGAGAAAGATAGAGGACGCGAGGTTTTCATATATCATATGCTATAGTTATTCATATCTGGGTCTTAGGATTCAGAGCTTGAACACTCGAAAAGATTGAGGAAATGAGTCTTTTTTTTTTTTTTGGTGCTTGGAGCTGTGTTGTCGAAGCTGGAATGTGAGTATACGTGGAGATTTTTGTGTTGGGTTTGTCGACGTTTAGATTTGTAGAATCTGGTTCGTAGCTCCGGGGACTGGGGATGGATGGGAGGAGAATAACTGCGAGCCCGTGGCTAGGTCGTGGGCAGCGTCGCGGTGGCGTTGATGAGTTCGTGAACAGCGTTAAGAAGCTCCAAAGGAGGGAGATTTCTTCAAAGCTCGACGGGGCTTTTAGTATGAAGGATGCACAGGAGCGATTTCGTAACATTTGTTTACAGGAGGAGTATGATATACTCATGATCCTAAAGAGCATTGTACCATTACACTTCTGTTTCTGAAGAAAAGGTCAAGAATTATTTAGATAATTGCTGCGCATGATATTGTTTTTGCTCTTGTGCGGTTTGGAGTCTGTGCGACTTTTAGCCGAGAGACCAACAAGAGAATATGTTTCCTGAATGACTACGAGGATTGAATACATAAAAAGAAGATGGATTAGTGGTGATGCATACTGGAAGGGAGCCTACTTTATCAATACGCCATAAAAAATAGTTATATTATTTTAATTTTTTATATATTTAAAAAAAATTTATTTGTATATTTTAAGAAAAATAAATTATTGCATTAAATAAGTAATAAAATGAGATGGAAGCATACATAAGCAATTAATCTGACATGGAATCTGGAATCTAAATTAGTGCTAAGTAAGTCACAACTCAGCATTAACCTGTTGGTTACCTACTAATAGGTCTAATTGCACTTTTTTGCAAGTTTCAAGGGCCTAATTGAATCTTTTTATAGTTTAAAGGCTTAATTGCATTATTAGGTATAGTTCGAGGGCTTATTTGGCCCTTATCCCTATATATATATATATATATATATATATATATATATATATATATATATATATATATATATATATATATATAGGGTGGGGGTGGAGTCGGGGTGGGGGGGCCAAGGCTCCCTACCTCCTAAGGTGCCTCCGTCCCTATACATACATACATACATACATATATATATATATATATATATATATATATAGGGAAGGGTTCAGGTGCGGGTATAGCTTCCCGTGCGGTTGTGCGGTTAAATCTGAGTAGTTGATCAAATTTAGATCAACGGCTCAAATCAATAAAAATTAAAAAAAAAAAAAAAAAAAAAAAAAAAAAGCGTGCCTGGAATAAAGAAGTATAAGCTAAGGTGCACCTTAAGTGTTAGATCTGAATCACAAACTCACGCACTTTAAGTACAAAACCCACACGCATTAAGCACAACCTCACGCACATTAAGCACAAATTAAAACCCACGCACTTTAAATATTAACTCACAGACTTTAAGTTTCAACAACTACTGACATTAAGTACAAAACTCACGCACATTAAGTACAAAATCCACGCACATTAAGCACAAACCTCACGCACATTAAGCACAAAACACACGCACATTAAGCACAAAACTCACGCACATTAATCACAGATTCGCTCACCTTAATTTTGACCTAGATGCAAAAATTACAAAATTACCACCGCGTTTTTTTTTTAAAACTTTGATAATCCTGGACGTTGATTAAAACGAGATGGATGGCTCAGATTAAACCGCACAACCGCACCTGAAGCCCTCACCCGCACGTGAACCTAAATCTATGTATATATATATATATATATATATATATATATATATATATATATATATATATATATATATATATATATATATATATATATATATATATATATATATATATCCTTTATATAATAAAGCTATATGGTTTGGAAAGTAATTAATGTTACAATTAATGCCACAACATCCTTTATTATAAAAAAAAAAAAAAAAAAAAAAAAAAAAAAAAAAAAAGCACAACATTTAAAAAATAAAATAGCTATATATTATATAAAAAATATACTTTTGAAAAATAAAATAGCTATATATTATATAATCATATAAAAAATGTGTTCAATTGGAGTTTAAATTTACACATACAAAATTTGAAATTTGCTTTCCAAATGTAATTATCTTAGTTATTATTCGTATTATGAAAATTATAATATAGATGAAATACGATTAAGAATAAATTAATGTAATTATGTAACTTCTCTCTATAAGTTTATTTGAATATGCACATAATTAGAGATTATATTAACCATACAAAATTATAATTTTAATATTAATTTTAATTTTAATTGTAATTTTGTATTCTATAAAAATAATAAATACTTGACCAATGGAAGTTAAAAAATATTATTATATTAAATAATTTAAAATATTTTAGTTTTTCAATTTTTTTTATTTATATTTATAATAACATAATTTTTTCCCGTGCATCGCGCGGGTGAATTACTAGTGTATATATATATATATATATATATATATATATATATATATATATATATATATATATATATATATATATATATATATATATATATATATCTATCTATCTACTATACTAATAAGAGCCCAAGAGAGTTAGGCCTATAATGGGTAGAAAAAATGGCGGTCACAGATTTTAATCAAATGAATGGCTCAGATTGATTAAAAGATTGATAAGATTTAAATTTTACACTAAAATTTCTTAAAATACTCACACACCGTTACTAATTCTGTTAAAATTTTAAGAATTGTCGTTAGTTCACCGTTAACTTACTCATTAATTTCAATAAAAAAAAAAAAAAAGTCTTAGGTTCGAACCTCATCCCAATCAAAGTTGGCATAATTAGTACTCTATTTTACTCTTATTAAATTATATAAATAATAATTTAGTAGCTACAACAAAAAATTATAGATATGCATTTCTTTAATTTAGAATTATGTGTCCACAATGCCTTTATTCAAAAAAAATTATTCATTATCAATAAATTAAATAAGAGAAATAATTGTATTAGTTATATTGTCTTTATTTTTCTACAATATAGAAATTCTTTATATTCAAATTTATTAATTGATTATATTCGCTACATTGTCCTTACAGTGTCTTAATTCAGTAAAAAAAAAAAATTATTCATTATCAATAAATTAATTAAGAGAAATATTTTCATTAGTTATATTGTCTTTATTTTTCTCAAATGTAAAAATTTTTACATTCAAATTCATTAATTGATTATATTCACTACATTGTCTATTATCTTTTTTGTGCACCATTTTTCTAATTAAATATCAAAGTTATAATACAAAATAATGCTATATATTTATTTACCAAGTATTTTATTAATACCATGAAAAAATTTAAAAAAAATAATTAATAAAGCCAACCATATTAACTACTTGAGAGATTTTGTGACAAAGAGAGTATTCAAATCACACAACAAATTGAAGTGAGAACTACCTTGTAATGTCCTTGTTTGACAATCAGCAGTTAGCAGATTATATTAGCGGATTTGACCAACGAATTTATTTAATTATTAACATTGGGTAGAAAAAATGACCGCCAAATTATTAAATCAAATGAATGATTCAAATTGTTCAGGTTTTAATTTTTTTAAAAAGTTTTTTTTAATTTATCCTTAATTATATGATTATCCATTTAACTTTTTCGTTAAATACTGTTAATTCACCATTAGTCTAATTCTAATATTAACGTCTAATATAGAATTATAATTACACCATTAATCTAATTCTAATATTAAAGTCTTAATAGAACTTAACCACAAATCCTAATGTCGAAATCTCCTCAAACAATATTAGTATATATTTAATATTTTATGCCCTAATTTTTATTTGTTCTCCTTATGTCCCGTATTTGGTTTCAACCATACCTATACAATTATTATATATATATAATGGATCAGGTGCAAAGATAGCTTCTCGTGCAATTGTGCGGTTAACACAAAAGACGCACCTTAAGAATTAAAATAACGCACCTTAAGTACACAAACCAAGCACCTTAAACATACAAACAAAGTACCTTAAGAACACAAACCACACACCTAAAGTTTTAAAACGGCGCACCTTAAGTACAGAAGCAAAGCAACTTAAGAACACAAATCACGCACCTAAAGTTTTAAAATGGCGCACCTTAAGGTTCAACAACTGACGCACCTTAAGCAAACAAATCACGCACCTTAAGAAGGAAAACAACGCACCTTAAGAAGGAAAACCACGCACCTAAAGCTTTAGGCCGACGCACCTTAAACACGCAAACCACGCATCTTAAGAAGAAAAACCACACAATTAAAGTTTTAGATCGACGCACTTAAGTTTTCAACACATGACACACTTTAAACTACACAGTACAAAAACCACTCACCACACGTTGTTTTAATCACTTTTAATCCTGGACGTTAATTTAGGTAAGATCAATTGCTCAGATTTAACCACACAACTGCACCTCAGGTTGACACACACATATATATATATGGTTAACATATTGGTTAATTTAGATATCCATAATTTCAAACTGCATTAACCGTTAACTTACATTTTTAAAAATTCATAACCATCAATCAAAGCAAAATATAAAAGTGATTAACTGAAAATTTTGAATCGGGTTGATTAATCATGGTTTTATTAAATTGTGCACACCCCAAACGTAGGACAGAAAGATTGCTTACGGTTTCAATTATTCCTAATACCTAATTAACTTTTGGACCTGAATTCCCCAGACTCAATTGCAAGGTGGACCCAGGTCCAAAACGCACGTCTGGAATAACGGTGCTGTTAGTGTCACCGTTTCCTCATCCAATAATATTTCTTTTGTAAATGTAGAGTTCAAAAATTGTGAATATAGAGTTCAAAATTTTTGAATATAGAAGAACGAATTCTGAAGACAAACGGCAAAGAAAAAAGTAATTTTTGAAGCAAAACAACACCGTTTGAACCCGGGCCCACCTGAGTCCATGACATAACAATTGGGCCTGGAGCCCATTCCACCCAAGGTTTAAATCAAGATGAGAATTGAGGAGCAATCATCATATTTTTAAACCCTCCAAGATGAATATCATTCCGGTTCCCTTCAGCTTCCAACCGGCAATTGGGCAAAGGCTCACTTTTCCTCCAATCTCTGTTTTCTTTCCAATTTCCAAGTCTTCCTAATTTCCTTTTATTTACGAAATACGGAAATTTGCAGTGACGCGCATTTTAGATTTTGATTTCGAGAGACGCATCAATTTAATGGCTGGACGTCGGCTAATCGAAACCAGCGTAGTGGATTTAATAAGTCCTCTGCCGGTAGAGTTAAAGCACAGAATTTTGGAGTGTTTGTCCACCCGAGACGCTACCAGAACTGCTCTACTCTCAACCCACTGGAATCATGTTTGGTTGCAGCATGGTAGGCTTGCGTTCGATTGGGACTTCTCGGATAGTGTCCAACAGGGTCACGATGATGAAGGCAAAACCCTCGTTCACATAATAAATAATATTCTCCTTTCCCGTGCTGTTCCGGTTAAGAAATTTACTCTATGTATTGGAAATTATTATCCTGAGCTGCGGCAGTTTGATTTTGATAGGTGGTGTGTTTTTCTATCAACAAATGGTGTGGAGGAACTCAACATACATTTTGTAAATTGTGAAGAGGCTGAATATAAGCTGCCATTTTGTATACTCTCGTGTCGAACAATTAAGCAACTGAGAGTTGGAGGTACCTTCATTATTGATTTGCCAGTAAATAGTGTTGGTGGTATATTTTCCAATGTCACTTCAATATCTTTGGCGGGTATTGAATTTAGGTGCACTGTTAGTATTAGTATGCCTAACATTGAGCAGTTGGCTTTACAAGATTGTGGAGGGATCAATAAATTTGAGATTATCAGCGCTTCAAAACTTGAAAGGTTGTCTATTTATAATTGTGTGCATGATGTGGTTGAATCAAGATGGTTGGCACCACATTTGAAAGCAATTAAGACTCTTTGTTTGTGTGGCTCTTCCTTGTTGGTGAGAATCTGCCTGCCCAACAGATTATTTTATTTAATTACTTTCCTTCTGGCTTAATTCTTAAAGTTGCCTAATTTTCTTTTTCTTTCTTTATTACTATCTTTCAAGTACATGGACGCATCTTTGTTTGCAACTGCAATAAATCTCCAACTACTGGTGTTGTGTAATTTTAGTTTTGGTTGTGGGAAGCAGCTCACTGTTGCTATGCAATTGTTTCAAAAATGCCCCAACCTATGTGAACTCGAAATTCTGGCAGATGAGGTTGAGTATACATTTAATTTGGCAATCATGCATATATGATTCTTCTGTTTTTTTTTTTTTTTTTTTTCAAATGTCCTCACATGTCTTTCATTTCTTCTTGAGTTATAGGAAGTATGCAAACGTGATAAAGAAGCTCTTTCAAGACTTTTGGAGGATCGAGAAGGTTGCTTTACTGTTCAGGATCTAAAAATGCTTAAAACAATCAAGATTGAATCATTTAGTGGATCCATAGTCGAAATGCTTTTTGTGAGAATGCTTCTTTCAAAATCTCCTGCATTAGAGAGAGTTGTTATTATAGAATATGTTGGTACTGATACCTCTGCTATCGAATGCCAAAGGCAGTTGTTGCGTTTTCCTCGTGCATCTCCAAAAGCCCAAATTTGCATGGAACTCGACGACCCCATCTGCGGACTATCTGATTACATATGGTTTTATTAACCTTAGCTTGTAGGAATTTATTATATATGATGAAGCTCCATGGGTTTAGTTTGGATGCAACCTATATATAGAGTGTATATATATTTGGCAATCATGGTTTTTTTTTTTCTTAATTTTCATTTCATGTTGAGTTGTAGACATGTTTATCTGATGAGATCAGACTTTCGGAGGATCTTATTGATTAGGATCTAAAAATGCTTAACGCATTAAAGATTGAATTGATTTAGAGCTTCCACACTTGAATTTTTTTTTTTTTTTTTTTTTTTCCGAAAAATGCTTGCTCTTTAAATTCCTTGCTCGGGAGAAAGTTGTTATTCAAAAAGCATACGTGGACTACAACTTTAGGTAGAGTGGTTTGCTTCCTAGAGTTTTAGGAATTGAGTATGGTGCAGCTCCATGGTTTAAAGAAGAAATGAGGATGCCATCTTATTTTGCTGAGCCAGGATTGCATTATAAAAGACCAGCACTCGATCTATTGTCACTAGAAATCCCTACTCAACGATCTATTGTCACTAGAAATCCCTACTCAACGTCGGCTAATCAAAATCTTAGTAGATGCAAGTAGGGATTTAATAATGTACTTTCAATACTCAAATAATATACTTTTAGTATATTAAAAATAATATACATTTTTTTTGAGTAGGTTAAAAATATACCTTATATTAATGAAAAGTACATTATTTTTTATGTACATTCATTACATGAATAGTGTACCTTTAGTACGTTAAAAATGTATTTTTTATAGTTCAAAATGCCATAAGTTTAAACCAAGATGAGAATTGAGACAATCGTGGACAGTAGTCCACACAGCTGTGTGGACCACGGTAAAAGAATGTCAACGTCTCCTCAGACACCATTAGGTGGCCTTCAACATGAATAAGGTGGTTCTGTTACATTTGGCAGCGCAATGGGAAAAGAGGACATATAATTGGCAAAGGGCAACCTGCTCTGAGTGAATTTTCAAGTCTCAATGAGGTTCTATTTATCAGAGAGTTACAAGCCATTCTTATAAGTGTTAGCCAATCTAGGATTTCGAGTGTTGTTCACCAATGAAGGATGTCATGTTCAAAATAATGAAGGTGACATTGCCTTAGCACTACAAAAAAACGCGGAAATAGCGACGGACTATTTCTGTCGCTAAACGGGTGAAATCCGTCGCTAAACGATTAGCGACGGATTTTGTCCGTAGCTAAAATGGGCATCGCTAGAATTTAGCGACGCGATTTATTTCCGTCGCTACCATTAGCGACGGATTTTTTCGTCGCGAAACAAAAATAATCCGTCGCTATATTTCTTCTGGCGACGGTTTCGTCGTCAAAATTTGCGAGGGAATAATCACGGAAATTTCCGTCGCTAGACTTCGCGACGGAGTATTCGTCGCTAAACCATCAAAATATCCGTCGCTATATATATATTAAGGATCAAATGAGAACACTTCCCCACATGAGAACTGTGAACTAATTTTGGCCCTTGATTTTGTGTTGGTCTATGGTGTTGATGTTAATAGTTAGTTATGATTATTTGTTTAGATGTATTTATGTAGGGGCTCTTTAGTAATTATGGTTGTATTAATAATCTAAATATAACTATATTTTGATTTTATGCATGATTTTATGGGTGCAATTTTGGTAGGATTCTACTGTATCTTATATTTTCAAAATGAAAATATAATATACCTTGTGGTAATATGAATGAGAACTATGGACTAATTATATTTTGATTTTATGCATGTTTTCAGGCTCCATTCGTATGCATTTCATTTGCTGGTTGTGTGCATTTCAGGGGTGTCGTCATGTGCATTATCGATTCTAGGTGTGTGCACTTCTGAATCCCTTCATGCGACTCAGTTGTGTGCACTTCTGGCATGTGTTTTATGTGCATTCCTTGTGCGCGTTGTGTGCAAATATGCCTTGTGTAATGTGCATCCCAGTGAGTCTAGAATGTTTGTTGTATTTGTGCATGCATACCCTACATATTGTGTGTGCACTTCATTGTTGGATAGTGACAACTAATCTCATACATCCATCCATATTATAATTCCAATCCAACAACTATATATATATATATATATATATATATATATATATATATATATATGAAAGTATATATCGAACAAGGATTTATTGCTTTAGATCATAATCCAAAAAACCGAGAAGAACGAAGATGAAGACTGATTCACCGTGAATATAATCATTTATTGTCCATATTATAAGAAAAATAAATAAATACAATTGTAATGAAAATATAATAAATGCTCATTTTTTCTATATATAACAAAAGTGCAGCAATTAATGATTTCGCGGAGGGAAGCGGCAGGCCTACGCCAGGTAGTGACTATGGAGGAAGTTAGGAAAGCTGTTTTGGAAATGAAAAAGTATGGAAACCTGGGGCCAGACGGCATCCAAGCCGCCTTCTACTAGTCCTTCTCGGACGTGACGAAAGGCCCAATTTTGGGGTTGGTCAAGGAGGCCATGGTGACAGGTATGGTGCCCAAGAAGATCCTGTAATCGTATATCACGCTCATTCCCAAAAAAGAGAGCCCAGAATCGACAAGTGAGTTCAGGCCAATTACATTGTTGAACGTGAGTTATAAAATCATCTCGAAGGTCATTGTGAACAGGATGCGGCCCATTATAAAGAAGCTCATTGGTCCGTTTCAAAATAGTTTCTTGCCGAGGAGGTCCACGATGGACAATATTATTCTCGCGCAGGAAATCGTTCACTCGATGCGGCAAAGGAATGGGGGCAAGGGTCTGATGGTGATTAAGTTAGACCTTCACAAAGCTTATGACAGTATCAACTGGAGTTCCTTGAGTCCACACTAGAGGACTTCGGCTTCCCCAATCAGCTCATCAGGCTCATTATGTTCGGGATAAAGGAAAGTTCTATTTCCCTGCTTTGGAATGGGGAGAAGCTCATGCCATTCCAACCGGGGCGGGGCCTCCGGCAGGGCGACCCTCTTGCCCCTTACCTCTTCATCCTAGTCATGGAAAAATTATCGTGGGATATTCAAGAAGAAGTCCGTAAGAACCACTGGAGACCGATAGTCATCTCAAGGAGAGGTACCGGGGTGTCACACCTCTTCTTTGCAAATGATCTTATGTTTTTTGCTGAAGCTTCCGAAGTTCAGGGGCGTGTTACTATGGACTGCATGGAAGATTTTTCCAACAGATCGGGGCTTAGCATCAACATCGGTAAGTCGAGTATCTTCTGCAGCCTGAACACGAGTGCCAGCATCAAACGCAGTTTGAAGAGGACTACAGGCATCCTAGTCACCGACAGCCTGGGTAACTACCTCGGTGTCCCGATCCTTCATAAACGAGTCTCAAAAAATACCTTCGGGTACATTCTGGAGGGCATGAAGAGGAAATTGGCCAATTGGAAATCTGACTCGCTTAGCCTAGCCGGTCGGAAAGTCCTCGTTCAATCTGCTCTGGCATCCATGCCAGTGTACTCCATGCAAGTCTTCAAGCTACCAATGGGGGTGACTAATGAAGTGGATAAAATTTGTACGAGCTTCCTTTGGGGGGAATCGGAGAATAAAAAGAAAATGCACCTTGTGGGTTGGAATGACATTTGCGAACCGAAGGATTCGGGCGGCCTGGGCTTAGATGGTGCGCTGATTTCAACGATGCCCTCCTTGCTAAGTTTTCTTGGCAAATTAATACTTGCCACGAAAAACTTTGGGTCCCAGTCATGAAGGATAAATACATTAAAGATGACAATTTCTTTCTTGCCTCCAGCTCTAGGTAACTCATCTTTGGGGTGGAAAAGCATTCTGAAAGGTCGGTCTATCAGGGAACTTGGGGCAGCCTGGCGGATTGGTAATGGCAACTCCCTCAACTTTTTGTCAGATTGGTGGGTTGGCGACAAACCCCTTGGACTCCTGGACGAAGTGGACCCATTGACGATGACATGGGTCAGGTAAAAGTCAGTGATTTTATTTTAACTAATCGGAGTTGGGATGTTGACAGGTTAAGCGCGATCCTTCCTCACGACGTGGTGAACATGATAAAGGATATCCCAATCCCAATAGATGAGCGATCGAAGGACGCACTCTAATGGCCGAATTCACCCTCAGGTAGTTTCTCGGTAAGTTCTGCTTTCTCCTACATTGCTGGTGACACGGAGGTGATGGAGGATTATGGTTGGCTCTGGAAAGTTGGATTGTCTGAAAGGTGCCGCTTCTGCTTGTGGCTCACGGTGCAAGGAAAACTGCTAGCCAACGCCGAGAGACACAGGCGGGGCCTCGCGGAGGACAGCACCTGTTCAGGATGCGGCGAAGATGACGAGTCCACAGTGCACATTTTTTCTGGCTGCCGCTTTGCCAAAGACTGCTGGAAGAAAACAGACATCCCAGACAACTTCCGTTTTGGGCATCAGACGTAGACATGGGAGTGGTTTAAGAGTAATTGTTGTTCTAAAGCTATTGTTAATGGCCTCCCGTGGGCGGTCAAGTTTGCGTATTCTTGTTGGGAAATTTGGAAGGCCAGAAATAGGAGAATTTTCGACCTTCAAACTCCCAATTCGGTGGACACTGTTCGGCGCTCCTTGGATCTCACCAACATCATGGTGGAGTTAAGTAGGCATCCATCCGCAAACAAGTCTGGAAAGATTCGTTGGGTCTCCTGGAACTCGCCTGATGAGGAGTGGATCAAAATCAACACTGATGGGGCCTTTAAGCGGAACTCAAGGACCGCTAGTGCGGTGGGTTTCGGAACCACAATGGGGACTGGCTGTTCGGGTTCTCCACTAAAATCGGGAATTCTAATAACTTTGCCGCGGAGCTGTGGAGCCTAAGGGAGGGTCTAGGGCTAGCAAAGGCTAAGGGGTGGGACAGGTTGATCTTCGAACTTGATTCAGAAGCCGTCCTCTCGGTTATTAAAGGTGAGGAGGAAATCCAAGAGGCTTCTTCAACGCTTGTCAGAGAATGCAAATATCTAGCAGCCCGGTTTGACAATATTGTCTTCTCCCATACCTTAAGAAACGTCAATAAGTATGCAGATCACCTGGCAAATCTTGGGCAACATGGGGAGTGAGGCACTTCCTACTTGGCTAACCCTCTAGCTAGTCTTGAGAGGCTCTTTGCAGCGGATGCTTTCGGCGCTAGCTCGGTTAGAGTCTGGTAGTTTCAGTTTGTTTTCTTCCCGTTTTCCACGGGTCCAATCTCAAAAAAAAAAAAAAAAAGAAAAAAAAAAGCAATTAATGATTTCTGCCTAATTATGT